CTAAGGCAAGATTATCTTCATCCAAACCCTTCCCCATAGTTAAATAACTAGTTAGATGTTTAATATGATGATGAATATGTGTTTTCATGCTTGAATCTTAACATGATGTGATAAAAGTTAAATTTTTTATGTTAAAACATAAACCAATGCGAGATTAGTAATTTTTTTCTTGCTTTCTATGATAGTATCATGATCATGATCATTAGGATTTTTCATAACTTTATTTATATATGAGAAATTTAAGAGATGTACTAAATAAATATTTTTTGCAGAAAATTGCAGCAATTGTATCATGTTTAACTGAGATTTAGAAATAGAAAATAAACTCCAAATTTAACCAAACTAGTGCCAAATGAAAGACATATGTATCTAGTTTCTAAAACAGAAAACCATTCTTAAAAAGAGTTTGTATAGAGAAAGATATGTTATATTTACTAACAACATATCCTGTAGAAAAACGGATGCACATATATAATGTATAACTGGAGATTTGGGATAACAAATGAACTCAAAATTAAACCAAACTTATGTCATTTGAAAGATATGTGAATCTAGTTTACAAAAAAAAAATCATTTGTAAAAATAGTTTTCTTAGAGAAAGATATGCTTGTTTTTCTAACAGATGCCACGTCTGTTTTTCCTGCTCGTTTTGTGGAGCTATGTTGCGCCGTTTTGAGGTGCGTTCGCGGAGTTTTGAGCCGCTTGATGTTATACGTATAGTCATGAATATGTTATGTTATACATTTAAGAATCCCAATGGGATTATGATGAATTTTGATTTGATCATATTTGAATTAGATATAGTTCATATACATGTTGGATATCGTTGATGAGCACAGCTCAGTACTATATGGGATAGTGCGTCGATATACCAGATATACACGGTTTATACATGAGGTAAATGTCGTTGATGAGCATAGCTCAGTACTATATGGGATAGTGCGTCGACATACCTGAGATACAAAGATTTACATGAGGTGGATATCGTTGATGAGCTCAGTTCAGTACTACATGAGGTAGTGATCGATATTCCATATGTACAGGCCATTGAGTCGGATTTTAGGAGGTTTGATCTAGTCATCCGTCCCGCACTAGGGTGCGATGAGGCTCGTGAGCCGTATTTCTAGGATGCCTATTTGGTAGTCCCTCCCGCACTCATGTTATGCACTGAGATCGCGATGAGACTAATGGGCCGTGTACACAGTTCAGAATACCTACAGGATAGTCCGTTGCACTGAGACAATTACTTGATAGCCTAAGTATGGCAGATGCCGATTTTGAATATGATCTATCATTGAACTATACGACTGAGATATGTTACTTTTGAAAGTATACAAAATTATATGTTAGTATTTTATTCTATCTCTCCAGTGATAGTGGAAGATATTATAAATACAATGTGTTGATATCTTGTTTTTTTTTACTGTCCTTTTTACTTCTTAGTTGGGATCAATGATTAGAGATTCACAACTTGAGACTTATGGTATATACATGAGGGTTTCCTTATTTGGATTATTTCGCTCGACGTACCAGTCTCGTGTTATGGATTTCTAATTATTGGTTTTATTAGATTGTCTTTTCTTAGTTCGGTATTAATGTTTAGATATCTATAATTTGAGACTTATGGTATATACATGAGGGTTTTCTTGCTTGGATTATTTCGCTCGACATACTACGTCTCGTGTTGTAGGTTTCTAAATGTTAATCCCACTTAGATACGGGAAAAATGAATCTAGGTAGACTATGCTTAATAGATAGAGCATCCACTCTATCTAGCAGCCCTTCCCCTGGGGGCGGATGGAGGTAATCTTGCTGTAGCGCTCTGATGCTCTTGTTGTTTTTTTTTTCTTTTAAAAATACCCTTTCAGGTAGCTCGGAGTTCCGGAGAGCCGCGGGATGACGGAGTTCTTGCATAGTCGCCGTCCCGAGAGATTTATTAGAGGCTCTATTGTAGTTTTAAATTTTATTCAGACTTAGAGTTTATTTCCATTTTGTAAAGGCAATGAGCCTTAGTTCGACTTTCCGTTTTGATTCATGTTGAAACATCGTATGTTATTGTAGACTCCAAATGTATTTTAGCTTATTTTCAGTTGAGACATGACCTTTATTTATGAGATATCATTTTTTTTATCATGTCTATTATTGTCGTTCTACTTCTTTGCCTGTTTTGTACCTACGCTTTTATTTGACCCCACTAGAGGATATTACTGTGATTGGTAAAACTTGTTGTTACATAGTATGGGTGCATGACAGGTTTGACATCTCTGGGTTCACCTTGAACTGCAGCCATGAGTGAAAACAGGGGCGTCACAACGGGTAAGAAGGCACTCCATAATAAATGGGTGTACCGGGTAAAAGAGGAGCAGGATGGTTTCAGAAGATATAAAGCTCGGCTAGTTATCAAAGGGTTCCAGCAGAAAAAAGGAATTGACTACACCGATATTTTTGCTCCCGTGAAAAAGCTAAATATTATCATGACAGTGATGAGTATTGTAGCTATTGAAGATCTTCATCTAGAGCAGTTAGACGTGAAGACGGTGTTTCTTCATGGAGATTTAGAAGAGGAGATATACATGCACCAGCCATGAGGTTTCTCAGAAGAAAAGAAGAAGAACATGGTGTGCGGACTCTAGAAGAGCTTGTATGGCCTAAAACAAGCCCCAAGACAGTGGTATAGGAAGTTTGACGGCTTCATGCACAAGGAAGGCTTCCAGAAGTGCAACGCCGACCACTGTTGCTACTTCAAGAGATATCAATCCAGTTATATCATCTTACTGTTGTATGTTGATGATATGTTAGTTGCAGGTACAGATATGGAGAATATCAGGAGTTTGAAGCAGCAGTTGTCAAAGGAGTTTGACATGAAAGACTTGGGTCCAGCAAAGAATATCCTTAGAATGCAAATCACGAGAGATAAGAAGAGAGGTCTCTTGAAGTTATCTCAGATTGAGTATATCAACCGCGTTTTATAGAGATTCATTATGGGCGACGCCAAGCCAGTGAGCACACCCTTGGCCACCTATTTTCGCCTATCAAATGATTAGTCTCGTCAGTCAGATGAAGAAAAATAGTATGACTAAGGTTCTTTACGCCTCAGCCATTGGAAGCTTGATGTACGCAATGGTCTCTACGAGACCAGACATTAGCCATGCAGTGGGAGTGGTCAGCCGGTTTATGTTGAATCCAGGAAAATCTCATTGGGAAACGGTTAAGTGGATTCTGAGGTATCTACGAGGTACCACACTGAATTGTTTGCACTTTGGTAAGGGAGAGGTGGAAGTGCAAGGGTACGTAGATGCATTCTTTAGGGGTGAAGTCGATCACCGAAGAAGCACCACCGGCTATGTATTCACTGTCGGAACTACAGGTGTTAGTTAGATGTCACAGATACAGAAGATTGTCACTCTATCCACTATAGAAGCTGAGTATGTAGAAATGACTGAAACCAGTAAAGAGATGATATGGCTTCAGCGTTTGTTAACAGAGCTGGGATTCAAACAGGAGAAGAATGTTTTGCACAGTGATAGTTAGAGTGCGATTCATTTGGTTAAGAATTCCGCATTTCATTCTTGAATGAAGCATATTGGACTTCGGTACCACTTCATCATATCCCTATTGGAAGATGACGTGTTAAAACTGGAGAAGATTCCAGGAAGCAATAAATCCAACAGATATGTTAACAAAGGCTGTGACCATTTAGAAACTGGAGTTGTGCGTAATTTCAGTTGGCCTTCATGCATAAGTGATGAGGGAGAAGCCACACAGGAGGTGGTGCTTGTTGAGATAGCCTACTGTCAACGGTTTGGTCTTCAAGTGGGAGATTGTTGGATTTGGGTGTGGATCCAAGCCTGTCAGGCGAGCTTGAGAAGATTGTCAGGCGAGCTCGAGGTCGAAGTTCAGGCAAGGTCGAGCTCCTTCAGGCGAGCTTGAGCGTTGTGCAGGTGAGTTCGAGATCAGGCGAGGTCGTCGGCGAGTTGCAGACGAGCTCAAAGCTTGCGTCAGGCGAGCTTGAGGCGACGCAGCTCCACAGGCGAGCTTGGGGCGATGCATGCGAGCTCAACGAGGGTAAAGTAGGCAAGGTTGACGCAAAATCCAGGCGAGCTCAAGGCGGCTTGCTGCAAGCGAGGTCGAGGCGCCCGTAGGTGAGGTCGAGCGCGCGCATGGCTGGCGACAGCCTGTCGCTAGGGTAGCGAGGTCGAGGCGCCCGTAGGTGAGGTCGAGCGCGCGCATGGCTGGCGACAGCCTGTCGCTAGGGTTTCACTATAAAAGGGAAACCCCGAGCATGAGATTGTGCTGCTTCTCCTCCTCCTTCTCGCGTTCTTTCAATGGCGACTGAGCTCCTTCTCTCTCCTCTCGCGATTCTCTTCTTTCTCTTTCAGCTCACGAGATTTTGAGGGAAGAATTCAAAGAAGAGGGAATTTATTGAAAGAGGATTTAAAGAAAGGAGTTATTACTATAGGTACAGTAACAAACTTGTATTTATTAAGAGATCTCAAGTTTGAGATCTGCTCTTGCATTGTAATTTCTTGTTAATTAATAAAAAATTAATTGTGTGGCTCCCGAGTATGTAGGTAAGTTTGCCGAACCTCGTAAATCTTGGTGTACTTTTTTCCATACTGTGTTTTTGTTGTTCTAGGGGTTTAGCATAACCCCGGATATTCCCCAACAGTTCCCTTATTATTCAAATTTTCTTTATCATCTCTAAAGAGAGTTGATACAGAAAAAAACTACAATTCGTACGTATATAGATTATAGGTCTAATTAGCATTATATTTTGAAGAGAGTAAAATAAAGCAACAAAAATGTGCATTTCTTTGCCTGTACCATTTTGGTTAATTTACCATAAGCTTTTCAACAACCACACATAAGACAGATACATGAGCTTTTTTCGATAAATATAACATGGGTAGAGAAACACTATGCTTCTTTCACATAAGGGAGAAAATCCCCCTTCCAAGTCATCACAAAGTAGTCTTCGCATAGATGTAAGATCTTGAAAATAGTGAGGTAAACTTTGCTTTCCATTGACACTTTAAAAACAATAATCTGATATGTACAAAATGTTCTCTTATTCGATGACCCAGTCAATTACTGTTCCTATACAAAAACTAAAAAGTGAAGCAAATGATACCGTAATAATTCACAAGTATGCCAAAATCAGCACTTATTTGGCTATACGTCAATCATTATGGATGTATAAGATGAAGGAAATGATGGATGATTCTCTGTTTTCATGTCAAAAATGTAATTTACTGAAATAAATTGCCCTGTTGGATCGGAGAGGAGAGTGTTATCATCTGCCCAAACAAGCGGCCATCAAACACATTGGGTTGAAGAGCAGGGATGCTGAACGAAGAGGTTTCTGGTACACCAACAGTTGGTCGAGATGCTTGGCTACGGATGAGGAAGAATATGTAAGAAAAATTTATGGCACTTTTAATATGGAAATATGAAGGGAAAAATTTTAAAATACCTGTTCATCATATATGAAGATGATAAGGATGGCATAACTGCTACATCATTCATACGGTGGTCAGTGGACACCAGTGGCCAAAAAACTGAAACAATAGAATTGCCAAAAAAAATCCAGTTAATTTAATCTCAAACAACATGTTTTAAGAGCATCCTATGTAGAAAATTAGTAACTTCGGGCAAAAGGTTAGCAATAGCAATAGAATCAACAAGGATTTTTGGTTTTGCACGTTCCTACGTGAGCCAATATCCTTTAAATTTATCCTTACATGTGCTTGTCGTTTTTGTAAGACGCAGACAAAGTAAAACCTTGAGCTCTCATTTACAAAACTCCCTGACCACCTCTACGAGTTTCAATTTTAACCCCATCGATTTTTGGCATTTTGCCGTACTAGACCCCCTCAAATCTTCATATTTTTAACTAGATCCCAAAAATCTTCATACTAGTTCGAAATGGGGTTGTCCTTAAGACAACTTAATGGAATTGGAGTCTAATTTAAAAGTACAAAGATTTGGGGTCTAATATAGAATAAGCAAATATTTGGGTGCCTAGTATAACAAAGCCCTCGATTTTTTCCCCATGTTCATAATAAAATTCTACAAATTATTGCTACGTGTCTAAAATCATAAAGCCTATACCAAAGGAAAAACAATCAGGAAACCTAAGACAGCAAGGGTCAATTTGAAATTTCCTGAAACCTAGACACCTGAGTTAATGCACTAAACAACTACTGAGTTCATCAATCATGGGTAAAGGATCCTTTAACATGAACTAGAAACCATAGCGATAAAAAAATTTAAATTAAAAAAAAAGATCATAGCTGAAAGAATAGAGATAATAACAAAACCTGGTTGTCCAGAATGATGCTGATACCCAGAGCAAAACAGAAGTTCCTGCATATCAATTGGCTAAAATGATCAGCTTTCATAGCACAGCACATAGTTATGCATGCATAAAATACACTACTTCGCGCACCTCTCTGGAATTTTTAGTCGCGTGGTTTGCTACATCTGCACATAAGAGGATTATTATTCAGAAACATGAATCAACTGTCATATAATACTCTTATCAGTTATCACATATGTTAATGTCATACATATAGAAATAATGTTACCTAAACCAGATCTACTAGGCTTGACTGCCAGTGTCAAACCAAGAAAGCAATCATCTGATTCAGCTCCAAAATCCCACAAGTTCAATTCAAGTTTTGGCTTTACATCTGTCACCAATATGCAAATTAACGTTATATCTGGATATTTATAACCATGATTTATATAGCTGCTGTAGATTTGCGACTCACTAGTTCGTTTTCTCTTCGAGGCAAAAGGATCATGGAGAGGAGAAGGTACCCATGACCTTACCTGGGACATGCATAAGTTGGTGAGAGCTATATATTGTAAAAATAATTAACAAAGAAACTTGAGATAGGCAATTACATGGAAAAAGGGATGTTGCAATGCCTGCTCTGCTGTTGGCCTCTTCAGTGGGTCCCAGGCACAGAGTTTCTAATTACATAGTATCATTAGAACAAAACAAAAAATAAATTAAATCAATGACATAATCATAAAGAACCAGGGAATCTAAAAGCACACCAGGATCAGATCAATTGCTTCCAAGCTAGCATTGGGGATAATGTTCGAGAGATTTGCTGAAGGAATCTGATAGAAGAAAGAATGAGAATAAGTCGACGTAAAAAAACAAAAACAAAGGGGGAGGAAATCCATATACTGAAAGTGAACATCTCTTTCTACCTGAAAGAATCTAAAATTGACAGACCGAGGAAGATTCATCCCTTCAGGCCAAATACAGCTATCAGGGGTCCCCAAAACATTGCAGATTTTGTATATTTGATCTGTTTCACTGAAACAACAGTTGCAAATCAGTTTACATCTCAGACAAACGCTAGCCTGAAGCTAAAACTTATAAATGTGCCTAAGGTATGTTAAAATGTTATACCAATAGAAGAACATTGTATGAAGAATGTGACAGGTAATCAAACAAAGTGCAAGAAGCATTAACAGATAAGAATAAACTTATAAACACACGTGCATTAAGATGCGTGCAGCCGTGCACAAACACAATCAGATCAGACAAACAGAATGAGTGAAAAACCAAATATTGGAATGCTAGGCATCTCTACTACAACCGAGAGCCCATCATAGCTAGCCTCTCACATGTCACCCACTGAAGCCCGGGCAAATGTTTAAAAGAAGAAAAAGAAACAACGAGTTTTGGAGAAGTGTGCAGAGGAATGGCACAAGTGGTAAAGGCTTTATATTTTAATCCGAGATTTTTCATGAATGGGATACCTGTATTCACTAGTCCTAAACGACATCTATACATTACGCCTCCACATTTTACATTATGCACGTGCAAATCTGCAAACTAGTTTCTCAAATAAACTCCTCTACATTAGTGTTTTGTAGGATGTTTAAAATTATTATGACATGAAAATCATTGAATCTCTACAAAATAAAGATTTTCCTTCATTGCCTGCAAATCTGCACCATAGAGATGAGGGATGGCAGCAGGAGATGGCAACAAATAAGAATACAAAAGTTTGGGAACAAAGAGAGAAAGGAAAAGCAATAATTTTTTTTCCTTTTTTGGATCACTCCTTTGACATCACATCACACCAATCTCAATTATAATTTGGCCTCGTGACTGGATCAATGGCTTCACACCAACTAAGGTTACACCGCATCAAAGACACATCAAAAATTTTTACAAAATCTACAGAAATCACAACTTTTTGATAAACATCGTCAAACTGTTATAGGTTTACAAAATTTAGTTACCTAGGAACTAATCCTTGATAAGAAATTATTCTAACCATTCTCAAAATAAAAATTTCCAGTATTTTAGGTTATTAAAATATATTCCTAGATAAATTAAGATTCCTAACTAATAATCGTTCTTTTATAGATAAGGCTACAATAGACTTTCTACTGACATTAAAATTTTAATCCTGAAAAAGTTTAGGTCATTTCTTTCTTTTTCTTATTTCTTCATCTTCTTCTCTTTCTTTGTGATTCTCCGAAAGAAAGTCATCACAACATCACATGGTCTTACAAAAATTCCTCAAAAATGAGTCATGACTTATCAGACATTGCAAACAACAACTAATCATGCAAGGAAAACATCACATCTTTAACAGCTCGAGGAAAGAAAAAAAGACAAAAAACAATAGAAGTCTTAAACTATGCATAACCTCCAAGTGTCTATGCTTTCATTTTATTTTCGCATATAAATGAGTCATAAGATAATTCCCTGTATGATATAAATTAGTTTTCAGCCCTCACATATCTCTACCACACTAAAAGTTATTTATTTGAACTGCACATGCATTTGCAAGTGGCGGAAAGCTGGTATGTAGTATTTAAATAGCAAAAAAACAACCAACAATCAAACAACAGACAAGTAATCACAATTTTAGGTAGCAAAAAAAAGTGCAGATATTTGCTTATTCTATTACATGTAGATCACCAATCCAGCTGGCCTTGTGAGAATTGTATATTATTTTCTATTTGCTTAAACGATGTTTTTTACCTTTCACCAGGGAAAAGTGGAGAGTGTGTAAAAAGCTCAGCTAGTATAGCCCCAACAGCCCACATGTCTGTAAAATAGTCAAATGGTCAGCGATTGTTTCATGAAAAGAATTTTTTATTCTAGATAAGAACCACAACAGCTCATGACCCTTTTATTCCAAGTCATTAACAAGAATGCTTTGAGACAATAATCAAGTCTCTTGATAAATTGAAAATGAATTCTATTATCAAATTTATGATACCCAGAACACAAAATAGGAATGACTTTATCCAATTTGTGCTAGCATTAATTCGATATGGTTGAATCCCTGCAATCAAATTTATGAAATATGATATGCAGCAAAATAATCAGAAGATTCTTGAATTCATAAGGCATAGTTTACATTATTTAGCCATGATCTCTAAGGTATAAATTCTAAAGAGCCTAGTCATGATTTAATAGTGAACAATCATATGTTGCTTAAGACAATAACTTCACTCGCCCTTTAGGGGAAGAGTAGAAGAGATCACAAAAGTAGCATACCAATTGCAGGTGTGTAGAATGAAAATTGCAGTAACACCTCTGGAGCTCGATACCTTGTAAACAAAACACTGTGTCAGACATGCCTCAGGAACTAAACAAACAAATCTAACCAATAAGATAATATACATGAAATGAAACCCCATGCAGCAGTTAAGGCAACTCACCATCTTGTTGAGACATACTCCGTATAGGGAGGCATTGACATTACCTCTCTTGCTAATCCAAAATCGGCAATTTTAATGACATCATTTGTCACCAGCAAATTTTCTACACAAGCAACAAAAATTTCTCCCATGTGAGTATAGCTATTTTGTTGGTAATTTATAGACGAGTGACAAATGACAGAAGTATGATCCAGCAAACCTGGCTTCATGTCCCGGTGAAAGTATCCATTTTTATGCATATGCGCAAGTCCTTGCAAAACTTGAGACATAAAGCTCCTTATCTCTGCCTCTGTAAATCCATTTTGCCGATCTTTCATTACTTGATATAGATTGCATTCCTATAAATATAAATCAAGAAAAAACATGAGATTCACCATGAGATCTCCAGCTATAAGATCGAAAATCTAACCCTTAAGCATGAGGGACACTGACTGAACTACCCCGCTATTTGAGGATCTACCCGTGTTTCTTAAAGTACATCTAATAATTGGTGTAACTTGTTAGCATATATAAATCAATAAGAAAAATTACTAAGGAAATCATCTATCCAGTCACTCACAAGAAAATTTGGCTTGTTTAAAAACCCTATCCTTCGTTCCAACTTCAAATGAGGTAGTGGGAGTTACTAGCAATAAATTTTAGCCAGCTAAGTAAGTAAACTACTGAATAGAAAGTTTGAACTTCTTTCTGTTAAACATCACCATTGTCTCATGTAGCTTTTCTCCCGATTAATCCATGATGATGCTACACCTTTCCATCTATTATGTTTAAGGCCTTCCTCACTAGTCATACGTTCTGATCTTTCCTTTCTTCTTCCATTGCATCCAACCACTCTATAGGACTTCAAAAGTGCATTCATTTTTCAGAAGTGTAGTTTTCACCTTACAGTCAAGATATTTACGACCTTTCCTTTCTTCTTCCATTGCATCCAACCACTCTATAGGACATCAAAAATGCCTTCATTTTCAACAGAGAACATCTTATTGTGGAAGCTCTCAAAATAAGGAATACTTTTTGTGTATCTTCATGGGTTCATAGATCAACATAGTAGAAAGTTAAATTCTCTTCCAGATACCAAGTTAAATTCTCTTCCAGATACCATTATGCAAAGAAAAATCATATACATACTGCTACATTGTATAAGGAAAAAAAATTCAAAATTTAGAATTGACAGTACTTACCATGTGCTCAAAAATGAAAAATAGCTCATTGTTCTCCCTGATAACCTCCTTCAACTTGACAATATTTGGATGGTTTAATTTACGAAGAGACTGCAAAATGGAACAAGATGTTGGTGGCTCAATTAGAAATGAGTATAAATGTTCGACACATCAGTTGCTCGTCAATTAGAAGAACGAAGAGATACCTTAACCTCCCTGAGATTCATGCACTCCTCCCAAAAGTAGAATTTTCTCTTCATTTTCTTGACAGCAACCTGAAATAAAGTCAGAATTAGGTGCTAAGAGGAATCAGCTTCATTATAATATATCTAAACATGCTAAACATGTACAGTTGCAGTTTTTGCATGCAACGAAAAAAAAGAAAAAAAAGAAACAAATAATGCATATGATGTAGAATATCGGTATAGATACATTCTTAGAGCATCTCCAACCATAAAACTCAAAATGGTGTAGTTTTTACATCAAGTTGGTGTAGTTTTTACACCAAATCACTATTCCATCTCCAACCCATTACACCAAATGTTACATCAAAAAGAATATTCCTTTTATTATTCTTATCTTTTAACATTTTTTGAAATTTAAAATATTTAACAAATTATTTAATTATATAATTATATAATACATATAATTAATTATAATAATATATTTTATGAATAAAATAAAAATATAAAAATTAAATACTAAATCAAATTAAAATATTACTTTCATAACTTCAACTAAAGATTACACTTAACATCACAAAAGAAAACATCACACTTGCAAGCAAAAAAAATAAAAATAAAAGGCATTACATTTAACATAAAATAAAACACAAAGACACAGTCCATATTGATAAAATTCTAAGTCTCCAAATTAGTATATTCATCCCACAAATGATCAATTAATGCATCTCGAAGTGCAATATGAGCTTCTTTATACTTTATGTTCAATGTTCTATTTGGTTCTAGTATTATGAAATTTTAAGCGTTTGGATTAAACTATCTATTTTTTCCCATTGTTGAATTTTATTTTAATAATTATTTTATACTCTAATTTTATTATAATAGTTCATAGCAAAATAATTAAAAATAATTAAAGCTACAATGTCATATTTTGATCATGAATTAAAAGAGAAACATTAAAAACCATCAACAAAATAATAAACAAAAAAAAAGTTACTGCACCAAAGCTACAGTGCTGCGCCAAATCTGGCGCAGCACTGTAGCTCTCCCCCAAAATGACGCTGAGAATGGAGTTCGGTTGGAGGATGCGCCAAATCTGGCGCAGCACTGTAGCTCTCCCCCAAAATGACGCTGAGAATGGAGTTCGGTTGGAGGATGATTTGGTGAATTTTTTGCGTCAAAATAGCCCCCCAAAATGACGCTGAGAATGGAGTTCGGTTGGAGGATGATTTGGTGAATTTTTTGCGTCAAAATAGCAGTTTAGCTACCGGTTGGAGATGCTCTTAGTACTAACAAGATATTTGAATCATGTCTCCAAAGTATAAATTCAGTACTTACCATCTCATTCGTTTCCAGATTGACTGCCCTATAAACACTCCCGCAAGTTCCATCTCCAATCTCCTTCATAAGTCTATATCTACACATCAATGATGGCGTAAAATATAGTTACCCAACAAAGCATGATATCTAGATATAATAGATTTAGTAATCATGTACTCACTTCTCCATCGTCGGATTTGTACAAGAAAGATTTCCCCTATTTTCACTTCACTGGCAAAGAATTTCTAACATAAGCCTTTACACTGGCTGTACAGTGCCTTTCACTAACTTGGATGTAGCTAAAGGGCAGCACATGAACTATGAAATTAAGAAAAACTGTACTTTCATGATATGAGTGATTAAACATCACCCAGAACATTATCGACATTCTTAGTACAGCCTCACGGAGCTGCCTTCGAGTACCATCATCTCTGTGCTACAAGTTGAGCAGGTACCACTTCTTGTGAAACTTTAGATTTATTTGAACATCAACACACTGGGTGCAGGTGAAATTTGCCTCCATTTACCAGTAATACGTCCCAGATGTCACAAACTGAACTGGGTGAGCTGCAATTAAAAAAAACGACATTTATCAAAGACAAAATCCATAATTACCAACATATGTTTTCACCTTATCTGGTCTGCTTTAATTATAGGTATTGATTTTACATATAAATTCCCTCAAGCTACTAATTAACTCAGAGCAACTAAAGAATACAACAAGAGATAATTAAAGCCAATCAAATCTTGTTACTCCTATCTCGTGCTAAGCCCTTTCCATGTTTTTCCCCGGCTTGCACAGAAGGTTTTTACGGTAATTCTTCGCCATCTCAATTAAACAAGGGTCATACAAAATACAACCAAAACCTCGTAACACATACCTAAGTACCATCAATATAAAAATTTCAGAAACCACGTTAGTATTTTAAGGCACCACAAGCCAATTTCAGAATTACAGTTCGTCATAACCTCATGAAGATCCATATGCAAACTAAATGAAGCATCTCATAGCATATGACCTTACTCTTGCGGCCTTGCCACTATAGAGCCTAATTCAAGACCAGGGTCAAATATCACCCGCCTAATAAATTCCCTAAATTAAATTCACCAGATATCACATATATTTAGTTAAATCCAAACCAACATCTGCCTCAAAAATCATAACGTTGATAGCTCCAAAACCATCACACTGCTTAATTTTGTAAGAAACCTGATTTCAGCTTTTAGCATGTATACAAAATCTAAAATAAAGATATTACAAAACCGATTTTACTGGGACCATTAATATTAGGTACATGAGAATTTGAAGAGAATGATCTTAATAGGAAATCCCTAATATAATATTTCACATTAGAGGATCCCAAACATCAAAACAACAGTTTTCGAGTAAAAACTGAGCAAGCACAAAAAACTGAAAAAACGAATAACCCTACAAAGAAAAATAATGTAATTAAAAGATGCAATTTTCATTGAAATATAGCGAAATACTGGAGAGGAATACAAAAGTTAATCCCTCTCCTGCTTCTTTTGACAATCCTTGATACTGGGAACATATCCAACTAAACTTGTCATCCCCAAAATTTTCTACAAAAAGATTATGTAAAACATTCAGAATTCATAAATTGATAAAGGGGACATTGCGATCGATTCAGAGAGCTTGATCGCATCAATGCTATTCGAATCCAATACACAGCCCAAACAAATTGTGAGAGAAAGGAAGAGAGCTTACCATTGATGAGAGCGAACATAAAGGGATCGCTAAAGTTTTGATCTTGGAAAAGATGTGATCTTTGAAGAATTTCGTTCTAAAGAGAGAGAGAAAGAGGAAGAATCGAGGAGAGAGAAGAAAATTTCGATGGAGAGGGTTATATAAGGGGGAGGAGGAGTTATTATATATTAATTTAATAATTCTTCAAATGCCCCCGTTTTAGTTCAAAATAACGAAAATGAACCTTTGATGTTCATCATTATCGAGGACGATTAGCAGTATTGCGGTGCGGTAATCATTTTACCCGATCTGCAAAGACGATCCGACCCGATCAAATTGTGCTTTTAAGACCCGGAAGTTTTTAAGCTTAGCCATAGGATAAGCTCACAAATAATAAGTAAATCCAATAAATCCATTTTTTGCACACAGAGGTGTATTTATGTATAGGGAATAATGAATATAAATTGTCTTCTCATTTAATTAAATGTGTTACCAAGAAATTAAAAGTGATAAGATAGGTACTTCTCGATGCGATTAGCAGGGTGCGTATTGTCACATGTTTATTTTTTTATAATTCATTTAGTAAAAATATTCTATCACTTCACACATGTGAGAGTGCTTGAAGTTGCTAATTGTTGGATCCAAAAGGGGATAGCTTCTAAGAATCTTGTAAGTTTTGATATGACAGGTATGGTGAAATAATTTGTGTGATAGTGAGTAAGTGGGAACTATACACTTGGGCACTCTCATCACTTGTTGAATTTTGTGTTTTAAGTTGAATAAAAGCTCTTCATTAGATTGTTAATCATAAGTATAAGTTTGGAAAAATCTTTTCATGATTAATACTACCCTTAACTTTTTTTTGAATATTACATTGTTATCCTAATCTATTTTAATTATCCTATCTTCATTGAATTGGTAATTAAATAATTTTTCCTATTCATAATGATATTTAACATGTTATTGGATAAAGGAGATACGTTTGATATAATTCAAATCATTTACTTATTTCAGTTCGCAGAGAAATCTAAAAAAATATATGCTAGCTAGAACCTAAAAATTTTGGGACTTTGTAAAAGATATCCTCCAAGTATTTTATATTGTAAAAGCACCCCTACAAATTCAAAATTTATTAAAACACCTTAAAAATTATAAATTTTACTTATTTCAATTTAGTGAGAAATTTGAAAAACATATCCTAGCTAGAAACTAAAAGTTTTTTTTACTTTGGAGAAAATATCTTGTAAGATTTGAAAATTACAAAAACACCACAAAAAATTTAAAATTTGTAAAAACACCTAATTTCAAACATATAAACACACTAAATGTTGTGCGCGGTGGAAGCATCGAAGCGACACGAACAATCCAAGAGATAAATCATAACTAATAAGCCAAACACAATACCACAGCAAGACAACGAGTTTAACGTGGTTCGGCAAGTTGCCTACGTCCACGGGGCAAGGAGAAGAGAGTTCTTACTATTAGAAATCAAGAGAATACAAATAAAATTACAAATCTCACCGATCAAACCCTAAAACAAAGCTCTAGATCTCTCACAAATCTCCCACAATTGGATGCAGCAATCCTCTCTCAAAAACTGCTCAAAAACGTCCTTATATTAACCCTAACTAATCAGTATTAGAGTTATATACTAACTCAAAACGAAACGGGTTGAAAACCCAAAGCCCAGCCCAAACTCATCTGTGGTCGACCGCGCAGGTATAGCGGTCGACCGCGGCGGGCGACCGAACACTCCCGACAGAGAGTAAAATTGGTTACAGGAAACTCACGGTCAACCGCGACGGTCGACCGAACCAAACGACAGATCCAAAAAATCCTACAGGGTCCACGCGGTAGACCGTGGCGGTCGACCGCCTTCAACTCCCAGCTCTTTCTGACCCTTGTGCACGTTCGCGGTCGATCGTCGCTGACTCGCGGTCGATCGCCAGTCTGCCTGACAATTTTTTCTGACTGGTTCTTCATCGCGTTCGTCATTTCTTCAATTCTCCACCTTGGCGAATGTTTCTATCAAAACTGAGCCGACACCAAATCATCCAAAAGTCCCACTTGTTGCGTCCAAGACGTCATGGAAACACCCCACGACAACGGACTTAATCCACAGCAAGTCGGGAAACCAAACATGAGCTGAAACGATTCCCCCCCCCATCTGAATCAAATTGGCTGCATCGAAAGACTGCCTACGTATCCTCTTGCGCAATGAATCAAGCCGAACGTAGTTCATCAAATGGCCTCCAAAGGCCTCAATCCACTAGAAGAGTTCGTAACCCTTCTCTAACATCACGATCAAGTCTACGGCAAATAGCACATCCAATGGCCCCAAACTGAAACAATTCAAACATCTCTACCTGAGATGAACCAATGGCCATATCCAGACTCCATCTATCAACTATACTCGAATCAATCAACCTATCATCTGCATCCAAATCAACATGATTCCCAATCTATATCATATCAGCTGGAATCCCAAATGATATAGTATGATCTGAAGTATGTGGAGTAATCTCCACCCAACGTCGAGTAGCATCACTCTCCACCCGTTGTGATGTCCTAATAATCTGATCATCATTCTCCACCTGTTGAGATCCAAACGTGACATAACTACTCAGAACAAAGTCAGAAGTCAATACCTGATAATCAAACACGTCTCTGAATCCTAAATGTGCTATCAGATCAAATCTTATATCCACGATGTGACCAAGTGTTGGGTAGCCAAACATCTGACGCAACCCAAAATCTAAAATAGCTCTACCATATCCAAAATCTCTACAAGCAGCAGTCGACAACCTATGCATAAGATGACCCAAATATGTCGTAGCCTACACACCAATGTCAATGCTCGACATCAAATGTCTATCCTCCTACAGAAAGGAACAGCTCCCCAAATCTACCATCTCATCATGTCGCCTCAAAGTTTCCACACCAATGAAATGTCTCCAATTATCTTGAGCTAGGCACAAACGCAAGAAAGAACCCCTACCATAAACAGAACGTCGGGTTACCCTTTTGCCAACACACTTCCTCCATCTGTTCCAGGCTTCTAGGACTTCACACCAACGGGACTTGGTTGCAACCCACCAATTCTTAGAACAATCCCTAACTGTGGAAACCACACACCTATTACCTCCCAATGATGCTTTCTTAGAAGACCCCAAATACCTGACTGAACAGCTCCTAAAAGACCCTTCGATCGATGGATAGAAGTGTCAAACTCCACATCGGTCTTCTTGCTCATACCAATAGGTTCACAAGACTTTAACCTGCAGGTCAAAACGCTCCTCAACAACCTATGCACGGTATTACCAATCAAATAACCCAGCATCAAACAACATCACGGTCTAGCCGAATCTGATAAAGTCATCAGCTCCTTATCAATCATCGTGCTTCTGAGCAAATAATACAAATTATTCCTTCTGACGCCCTTCATCACAATCATGGACCCCAATGTGACCTTCAAGCGTGCGTCCACCAAGATCACCCTATAGCATGTTGCCTCCAAAGCTCCAAGTGAAATGATGTTCATCTTTAATTGTGGAACAAACCTTACATTATCCAACTCTCGCATCATCCTGTCACTCATCCTAATTCGAACAGTACCAATACTACCAATAGAGCATGCATGTCCCTTACCCATGAGCACGCATCCTCTCTTTCCAACTCCTGAAAGCTGGAGAACAAATCCCTCCTAGGACAAACGTGGTAAGAAGCACCTGAATCCAACATTCACTCCGTAGAGTCAGCATCACAAAATGATGGTAGTGCAGATAACGAATAGCCTGAAGAATTCGAATCCGAATTGTTACCACTAGTCTTGATAACATTCACCTCTGAAGCTTGTACAGCTTTCCCCTTATTCTTCTCAGCTCGATCTAACTTTGGGCATTTAGCTTTCCAATATCCATCCTCTTTACAAAAAGCACACTGATTCCTATGAATCTCACGATGTGCACCTCTAGACTGTGACCTCTTGCTTCGGTTTGAACCACGACTTTGAACTACTAATGCATCTCCCGATGCCTTTTTAAACTCAACTTATAATTCACCAACGCTGAGGTCACCTCCTTGTAACTAACAGTAGTTCTTCCATTAATCATAGTAAGAACAAAGGTATCATAATCATCCTCAGGTAACGAACACAAAAGTAGCATCGTCTTGTCTTCATCCTCAACCATAATATCCACATTGGCCATATCTGAAAGTAGCTTCATGAAGTTGTTAACATGCTCCCTGATGGAAACTCCCCTCTTCATCTTGAACTGATAAAACCTCTTCTTCAAGCGAAGCCGATTCTTAATGCTCTTAGTAAGATACTTTTCATTGAGTGTTTCCCACATCTTCTTCGTTGACGTTTCATTCATCACATTATAAATAAGATCCGGCGTCAAGTATGACCGAATAACTCCACACGCCCTACTATTCATCTTCTTCCAAACCCATATCAGCAGGTTTCTCTTGCAATTCACGAGTCTCTTCCAAGTTTTGAGCGTCTAATGCATCCATCACCTGGCACCTCCACAAACCGAAATTAATCTTATCATCAAACTTTAGAACATCGATCTTCATGCTATTGATGCTCAAACTATGTATTGTCTTCGTAAGAGACGATCCCGATGTGCTTGTTTCACCCATGTTATCAATCTAACTCTTCATATAGGAATACTTCACTGAATCCTTCGAACAAGACTAAAGCTCTGATACCAATTGCTGTGTGCGGTGGAAGCTTCGAAGCGACATGAAAAATTCAAGAGATAAATCACAACTAATAAGCCAAACACAATACAACAACAAGACAACGAGTTTAACATGGTTCGGCAAGTTGTCTACATCCACGGGGCAATGAGAGAGGTGTTCTTACTATTAGAAATCAACAGAATACAAATAGAGCTACAAATCTCACCGATCAAACCCTAAAACATAGCTTTAGATCTCTCACAAATCTCCCACAATTGGATGTAGCGATCCTCTCTTAAAGACTGCTCAAAAACGTCCTTACATTAACCCTAACTAATCAGGATTAGAGTTATATACTAACTCAAAATGAAACAGGTTGAAAACCCAAAGCCCAGCCCAAACTCATCTGCAGTCGACCGCGACGGTCGACCGAACACCCCCGACAGAGAATAATTTGGCTACAGG